GGTGTCCTGGCCTTCCCCTCCCTGCTCAGTCAGCCGGCCCTAGGAAAGCCTTTCAGAACATTCAGGAGAAATGCTGAAGACAGGTTTTTATAAAGGTAGTGTGTGTGTGTGTGTGTGTGTGTGTGTGTGTGTGTGTGTGTGTGTGTATGCATAGAATATTACAAATCTGGGCTCTAATTAGAGTTAGAATTTTTTTATCTAATCCGTTTTAAATATTTGAAACAAGAAGGGTCAGAAACCAAGATGGCTCAATAGTTACAGGTGCTACCAAGCCACCAGATGACCCAAATTCCAATAGCTGAACTGCTCATATGATATGAGAACTGACTGTATACTTACACACACACATACACACACACACACACACACGCACGCACACACGCATGCATGCATGCACGCATGCACTCAAGAACCATCCAAATAAAAATAATAAAATAGTATTTTTAAAGAGCATGTGGTGCATACCTTTAATTTCAGGACTGGTAGGCAGAGGTGGGCAGATCTCTCTGTGTTGAGGCTACCCTGGTCTACAGAGTGAGTTCCCAGACAGCCAAAGCTACATAGTGAAAGACCCTGTCTTCAAAAAAGGTTGTTTTGTTTTGTTTTGTTCTTTTATTTATTTATTTGTTAATGGTAATGGTATCCAGGATGTGGTGCCATGCTCCTGTAATTCTAGCATTTCAGAGTCAGAGGAAAGAACACTGGTGTTCTGATTTGATTTTTAGGTTTTCAAGACAATGTCCAATGGATGTCATAATGCTGTAGTGGCACCTAGTGTGTTTATGTGTGACATATGGCATAAATGGGATATAGGAACCAGTTCAATGTTAGTCAACTGATAATATACTGAATAGCTATTGACTTGGTTTGATTTTTTATTAGGATGCGTGTAGGGATTGAAAGCAGGGTCTACCACATGCTAGAAAAGTGACCTACCACTGACGTGTGTCCCTGGTCCTTTTTACATGCTTTGAGATGGGGTCTAAGTTAATCACCGAGTTAGCCTTGAACTCTCCCTATAATCTTGACAGATCTCGTTAGCTTCTTGCCTCCGACTTCTCAGTAGCTACATTTGTAGCTCCCTGCCTGACAGAATAGGTAGCTCTGTTTTTGAGACAGAAGCCAGGCTGGCCTTGAACACCTGATCTGCCTCCACCTCCCAAGTACTGGGATTACAAAATGGGCACAAAGTCAAAATCCAGATTCAGCCTCCCAAATATTAGATTATAGGCATGAGCTACCGTGCTAATAAGCATCTTAACTTGGGACCCAGTCTTAGCCATAGATATGACCATTAACAGTGATGCTGAACCTCTGTGCCAGGGGAAATATGGTTAGGTTCCTTTGAGCCTTCAGTCATGTTCTCATGAGCTAGTCAAATGCCTAACCTTTGAAAATTGTATCTATTTATTTATTTCAGATAGGGGCATAGTTCACTTCTTTTGAATTCACAGTGATCCTCCTGTTTCAATATCTCTCGTACATTTTGTTTTTTATACAAAGTCTCATGTATCCCAGGGTGGCCTCAAACTCGCCATATAACTGAGGGAACCTCTGAACTCCAGATCCTTTGGCCTCTACCTCCTAAACGCTAGATTACAGAAGCACGATTGGCTACCGCATCTTTTGACCACATCCCCAGCCCCACACCCAGCTTGTTTCCTGGTCAGTTCCTGTCCAGAGACACTTTCTTACTGCTTGCTTCTATCTAGGGGTCTACAGCCTGGCACTCTCCAATTGTTTGTCAAACAGTTACCCAGTTCAATGAAAATGGAAACTCTCTGAGGGCAAGGCTTTGTCTTATTCACCCCACCTGACATAAAGCTGGAGGCCAGAGCCTCACACACATACACATGGTTGGTTCTCAACTCCAGATTCTAACAATGTGATCATGAGTTTGACAGGAAACTCCAAACCAGTTCGGGGCAGCCTGGCTGCACATACAGCTACTGAGTTCTGAAGTACAGTGGGGATGTGCTCTAAGTGAAAGCTCTGCACCAATTTTGAAGACAGCACACAAACACCTCTGGCTGCTGGGGATTACAGCAAGGTGGAGGTAGAAGACTGCTTGCTTCCCTGGTGGGTGGGTGTGTGTGTCCCCTCAGCTTCCATCTTCAACAGCAGTGTCATCCCATGTGCCCGCCCCCATGGCTGCTGACCCCTCTCCCAAGTCCGGGAGATTGAGCTCAGGGCCGTGGGCTTGTCAGTGAGCATTCTTCCTCTGAGCCACACTGCCAGCCCCCACATTAATTATTTTGTTACGGTGAGTCCCTGTTGGATTTATACTACTGTGAATATTCCGGGTTAAACAAAATATGTTACCACTAATTTCCCCTATGTCTTTTGTAATTTTTAATGTAGCAACTAGGGAGTTTTTAAATTGCTTCTGTGGCTTATTAATATGTCTCTGAGTCAGTCCTGGCTGTAACCCTACCAGAGGAAGGCCACCCAACAACACAACCCAGCCAAGGTACCCCACATAAACCCTCAGTTCTTATCATTCAGCCATGAATCCTTGGTTGTGAACTGACAACATCAGGAAGTAACTAAAACCCAAGCGGCTAGGTACACCTATGCGGGACTTTTTTCTAAATTAAATCATGTAAAGAGGAAGACCCACTTTTTAATCCAGACTGCTTTTGAGGTGGGAAGATCCACCTTTCATTTGGCCACACCTTCTGCTGGCAGCCCACAGAAAGAACATGGAAGGAGGAGGCTTGCTCTTTGCCTACTTTCTCTCACTTTCCCTAGCAAGCCCATCCCTTCACTGGCATTAGAACATACTTCTTTGGGCTTTGGGATTCCAGTGTGTACTGAAGACCAGCTGAGACATCCAGCCTTGTGGACTGAGAAACTACTGGATTCCTGAACCTGCCATTGGTAAACAGCCATTGTTGGACTGGTTGGACCACAGCCTTTAAGCCATTTTAACAAACCCCCTTTCTGTATAGAAAGAGAATCATCCTATAAGCTTGCTCCTCTAGAGATGCCTGACTAAGGTGCCTAGAGCTCCAAATGTGCCCCAGAGCCTAGCAGGAAACACCTGTTCGGTGGCTTCCTGTGACACACCAAATCTGTGGAATTCGGAAATCGGGGCTAAAAAGAGTTTAACAAAATGAACCAACCTAACTTGCAGAAGGCAGGTGCCATGAAGACTGGGTTATGGGCCTATGAGACCATCTTGTTTCCACCCAGAATGGTGACCAACAGTGGAAAAGCAAGCAAACCAGGACAGACAAACCAGGACCGATTATCTCTCTTGGAAACCTGAACAGAAACCAGACCATTCTCCTTGCCATCTCTAGCTCTCTGCTTCAATGGCCCCTGATTACTTTTCTTTCTTCTTTCCTTTCTTTCACGAGACAGAGTCATTTGTCTCAAGCTTGCTGCTTGTGACTATGTGACCTTCAACTCTTGATCCTCCTGCCTCTGCCTCCCAGGTGCTGGGATTACAGGAATGTACAGCATGCCTGGCCAGGCAGCTGTCCTTGATTTCCGTTCACCCTGGGTTCACAAGTCCATTGGTAGAGTGCTTCCCTAGCATGCAGAAGGCCCTGGGCTTCATTCCAACACTGCAAACATAAACAAGCCAAACTTTCTGCTCAAAACAAAACAAAAAAAAAAACACATTTTTTTCCAACTTGTCTATGTACATTTGGGATACACAAATGAAAGAGCCTGGAGTAGCTGGATATAACGGCACAGGCCTGTAATGCCGGTATGTAGACATGAATCCAGAATTTAAAGCCATCCTCCACTACATACTGAATTTTGAAGTCAGCCAAGACTACATGTGAATGTTTAACACACACACACATGCACACACACACGCACATGCACACACACATGGGCAACTTATGGCTTCCAACTGCCCAGCATCTGGGCTGTTGTGACAGAACCATATAAAACCTTAGGGGAAAGTTTCCCCCTAAAATTGGCAAAGATTTGTTTGTTTGTTTGCTTAATGCATTAGAAATGTGAGATTCTGAGAGTTTTCAATTGCCCAGCTTCACAGTTCTCCAATTCCTTATGTAGGTCAGAATAGGAGTTAGTGATAGATAAACTTTCACACAGCCAAGAGAAACTTTAGTACACACTGCCACACATGGACCTGTGAGTTCCAAGACTACATGTTATCAGAAAGCAGGCTGCCAGTGAACTCCAGCGAAGTATTTTCCTGCCCCCCGCACCCTGGCTCTGAGGGGCCTGATGTTCTCTGCTTTCTCCTTAGGCTCATCTTGTTCTTGTTACTATAGAAATGGGTTCTTACAGCGGCTCTCCGAAGTCCCTCAGCCCTGACAGTCACTCACAGGGGTATGCTCCCGTTGGCTAGTAACCCCAACCACTACTACAAATTGGTAGCTTCTAAGAACCCCAACTTGTTTACAGGAAGGCTGGAACATTCTCAAGTTCAAATCAAGATCTTATCTCCCAAAATTCTTCCCAGCAGGAAAGCCCTTCCCAGTCCAAACAGCTTTTTGTTATCATTAAGATAATTACATTCTGCACACTCTGACAGTAAAGAAATGAGTGGGGAAGCGGAAAGAGAGGTGAATTGTTCAGAAGGGAAGTAAAATATCTGACTAAGTCTGAGGGAACCATAACAGTTCCAAGCATAAATGGAAGGAGCAACCCTAAATAAAACACTGAGAGATGTAAACTCTATTAAAGAGATCAGCTGAATCACAATTCTTTTAGCCTTTCCACAGATACAGGAATATTTGGGGCTTAAGCATTGGTTAATACTCTGCTCAGCCCTTGATTTTGGCCCCAATGGAGCCTCCATAATGAAAAACAGCACATGAAATTGGATCCACAGGCATCCGCCCACAGCCTGGACTGCGGTGTACTTCACTGTCCAGCCGGCACACGCTGTTGCTCAACATTCAAGCAGGGGCCTCCTGCACTCGCCCTCCAGCTATTAAAACAAAATTAACCAGCCCAGTGTCAAAGGTGACTGACACTATTTCACCCGAGAACAGTGTCCCAGCTCTCTGTACCTCAAGTTCAGTCTCCCGTCTGTTGATATCATCCGTGGATTGATTTAACTTCTCGAGTTCTCCCTAATGAAGAGAGAGAGAGAGAGAGAGAGAGAGAGAGAGAGAGAGAGAGAGAGATATTAGAAGGGCTAGCCTTTTGTTTCTAGGGTAACTTAGTTTACAACTGGAAAGTCATCCCTGAATGATGCAAGTCTGTTAATTCTTCAAGAAAACAGCTAGGCTAAAACACAAAGCCATCGGCATTTCTAAAACCTTTTGTAGACTGTGTCCTTTTTTGACATCTTTAAGGTTCTACAGGATCTTTCCCTGAAAGGTCATTTTTTTTTTTCAGGTGAACTCACCTGTCACAAACAGTAACTTAACCCAGTCAAAACAGCAACCTTTGCTGTAGGAAAAGAACTTTTTGAGGAAATTAGTACAGGAAAATACAGCCACAACGAATCACAAGGCTGGTGCAGCCAGGCCAAAGACAGGCTTCCAGCATTAACTCACCAATGACTATTTCCCTATAAAGATTTTTTTCTATCTGCCCACTTTGCCCTGCTTAACTGGGGTGTTGGTGGTTAACTGGCTTTAATCCTACCTCTTTTAAACATTTGCAATCTGACATTTTGTAAGAAGTAGCCAACATGAGTTATCTCATCTTTATTCAACTCATCTTTGCTCTGTGAACAAAGGTCTTGCTAACGAAATTCCACACCAAACCCACAAGATTCTATAATCCAAACCCCGGGTCTGAATTAACAGAATAACCTATGAGAAGCTTTTCTCACTAATCTTTAGTATGTTAATTTGACAAAATAATTAATTTAAGCCAAACTGGTGAATTAAAAGCATGCTTTTTTTTCTCTTTATCTGTTCACTTACAAGCAATTATTGGATCCAGGAACTGCAAACCGTGCTTAATAGCAATTTTTGAAAAAAATGATTTATGGAAAGGGTACAAACGGGTCATGGAAAGGAATTTGCTTTGTGCTTAGGAAGGTGAAAGGTTAAGCTGTCACTCCTGGAAATTGTTTTTTAACTATCTCTCCTGGTAATGGAGGCACAGAAAGCCAGGCTTTCTCTGCTTTCCCTGCCTCCACGCGTCGGCTTTGCGCGTCAGTTGTCCCTGGTGGGTGTTCACACTGACCTCACAAGGAAAAGGAGGGTTTTAAACAGTCTCAGCCCAAGTGCAACACGGTGCCAACAGTGGCAACGACGCCCACCATGTATTGACAATGAACCAAAAGAGGAAGGCGGCACAGGCTAGGCACCTCTGCCAGGTGAGGGCTCATGAGACGCCCCGCACCAGTGCAGCCCACATCACAGGGGCAGGCGACAACCACTTTGTCCTGCTCGCCCACCACGACATCTGCATACACACAGCTGGGATAACGCTGCGCCGAACCCGGGGGCTGTGCAGTGCTCCGCACGTACCCCGACTCTGCTCGGGGCCCCCGCCCCCTTTTTCCTTTGTTGTAATCCTCCTGAACCACTGGTCGTGTTGTAGGGACCCTCGGGTTGGGCCGAGGGTCTACAGGGACTCCCGCAATAATCAGGCTGTGTTCACGCGGGCATCGAAGCCTGCCGCAGGGAGAATGTGAAATGGGGTGTCCCAACCCTTGGTGCACCTTCTGGATTTAGGCAGCCCCCACCCCGCGATCGCGAACACGCGAGGCTGTAAGGCGTGTATCCGCGTAGACGCCAGACTTCCAAGGCAGCCCTGGCGGGGTGCGGCTGTGGGCTCCTGTCACGCATCCTACCTGGATCCGGGGGTCCACCTCTTCCTCCTCCTCCAGGCCCTGTTCCATCCTCTCTTCCTCCTCCTCTTTCTCCTCCGCCTCCCGGGAGGGCGGCGGGAGCTCCGCCGGCTCCTCAGAGCGGCTCCGTTTCAGCGCCGTGTCCATGCGGGCAGCTGAATGCTCCGCAGCCGGGTCGCAAAGTGCGCGGTGGGATCAGAGCGCGCCGAGGGCCGCCTCGCTGCAGCCCGGTAGGTCTGGGCGCGCAGCGCTGCCACCCCGGGTGCTCCGCCGGCGGGTGCGGAGTGGCAGAGGAAGTGGGTGCGGCTGCCCCCTGTCTGCAGCGGCCCGCAGCACACCGCGCCCGCTTAGCCCAGGCCGCCCTGTTAGCCTGTGTCACCCGAAGCTCTGTCACAAAAAGCCCAGTGCCCAGTGCCATGGCCACTAGGAGAGGCGCCGCCCAGTGGCTCCCCAGCCCGCGTGTGGGCCGCCTTAAGCTAGCTTCCTCCTGCCTCCAGTGAAGCAGATCAAGGTACAGAAGGAAAGTTTAGGTGATTTCCATTCTCCAAAGCTACCTTTGTGTCTACTTGGTTTCACAGAAAAAGGAACTCTACAGTAATCTTGTCTGTACAGCAGATAGATAGCCTGGTCCAGCCACCGAGTGGACATCCAAAGCCTAGACCTGCTGGGCAAAGCTCAGCAAGCAAAGGCATGAACTCTTAGGGCCTACCTGGATATCCTGAATGCACGAAGAGCCCATGGAGCTGGGTGAAAATCTAATGGATCCGGTGGCTTTTTAAAGAGATTGCACTGCTTGCTCGTGGGTAAGCTTGGCCAGTGTAGGAACTATGTGGTTCTGCCCAACATCACCAAGCATCACAAAAGAGCTAACAGTGAAAGGGTTCTCTGTATGGTTACAGGTGCCAGGGCCACTGTGAGGTCAGGGAATACCTGGCCAGATGTCCCGAGCGAAGTGGACACTTCGTAGAGGGAAGCTAAGGTCCATTCCATGGAGTCTGGAGGACAGCTTTGCTTGAAAGGGGAGTTCTCAGGAGCCTGTGATCAAAGTAGAGGAGTTGCTTCTGTCGGGGTTTTTTTACCCCGAGAAGCAAAGCAAAGGGGTTACTCTTGGGCAAGGTCCCACTCCTGATTGGTGGAGATGGTCCAGGTGTGTGCCCTAGGTTTATTTCTAAAGAGACCACACCTGTTTGTTGCTGGTACCTCGCTGGCCATTCTGGGAGAGATGATTTGAAGTTCTTTGCTAAACATACAGTTACTTTTGATTTCCAATGATAAAGCTGGAACAAGATGGCCATTAAGGATCAGGCCTACTGGGTACTCTCTACTCAGAGTCTCATGAGTTAAACTGGGTTTCAGCCAGGTTGTGTTCCTTCCGCAGGCTCTGAGGAAGAATGTCTTTCAAATTCATTCAGTGTTGGTTAACGTGAGGTCTGAGAATCAGGTTTCCTTGCTGACACCCAAGGCCAGGCAAAATAACCCTAGCTGGTATCTGCCCTCTTTCTCATGTAGTGGGTCTTCTTCAAAGCCAGCACCAGAGAATCTCACTTGTGCCACAGGCCTCCCATGCTTCAATCTCTCCTTCTTGAAGAGCCTGACACTCTCTCTTTCCCCTTTCAGCAGTTCCCCTTATTAGGTCGGTCTACTGACTTCCCATTCACTCATTTTGTTTGCAACAACCTTAGCCAGGCTGGCATCAAGCTCTTATCAGCTGGGACTGGCCTTGACCTTCTGATTTTCCTGTGTCTACCTCCCGTGTGCTGCATTTTAAATCAGGCACTCCTCCTGTAGAACTCACTATACAGCTCAGTGTATATATAGTCACACTGGCCTCAGGCTCTGAAGCACTAAGATTATAGACACACATATCACCATTTGGCTCCCTGACCTCTTTTGGGGGTGGGTGTGGGTGGGGTGTGGGGAGACTGAGTTTTCTATGTAGCCCTTGCTGTACTAGAACTTGCTCTGTAGACCAGGCTAGCCTGAAGCTCAGAGATCTACCTGGCTGTCTCTAGAGCTGGGATTAAAGGTGCCTAGCTGGCATCCCCCCCACCCCACACACACACCAAGGTCATTACCACATGCACAGAGTGACAAACCCTTTATATTACAAGTTCTTAAGACATATACAGTGGTAACCCCACTAGGCAGCAGGAAACAGTTTGCTAACTACTCCACATACTGAGGAAAGACCCTTGCTGGGGAGGGCTGCTGTGTCAAAATACCACAGCTTCTAAATGGCACTCACTTCTGATTCTGAAGGCTGGACGTCACAGAACAGGGTGCCAGCAAAGTCAGGTTCTGAGGAGGGCCATTCTGGGCTTGTAGACTTCCAACTGTTCAACAAACTTTCATATGTCAGGGGAAAAAAAGCCTTAGAAAACCTCTGGGGTCTCTTTTTTTAAAAGGATATTATTCCCATTTGCTCAGACCTCCTACGCTCCTGGCCTTATCACTTCCCAAAGCTTCAATGGGACCCAAAATCTCCAGTCTACAACCTGAGGCATGCCCCAGAGCATCACAAGTTCTAGACCAGCCTGAGTTACACAGCCAGAACTCAAAACAGCAGATGCTTACCCCTCCCCCAGCACCCTGTGGGCTATTCATGGTTAGTGTATTTCTGGCTGGGATCTTCTTGGCCATTTTAAACAGTTTGAGCTTAACTTTACAGTTTGAAATGCCCCAGGAGCTGGTTAAAGTGTGCTGTGATGAGCCTTTACTGGATCTGCGTTTTGGCATTTTCAGGAAACACCTACAGCCTGATCATAAAGTGTCATTCGTGGAGAAAACAGCTTTCTAATGCTTTGTAATCTGTTTCAAGGATGACAATCCTTGCCAGGCTTTCGGAGGCTCCGAGAGGCGAGTGGCTTGTCTGTGTCGAACTGGTGCTGCTTGGCAGGGCTCCAATCACCTGCCTCACAGTGTGGGCAAATGCTATTATGCTTCCAATGCGGGGCATCCCAGACAACTCAAAGCTAGGTCCTGATACAAGCAGTGTTCTGAGGTGGGGCTTTGAGGAAATGGTCCAAACATGTAAGTTCTGCCTCCACCAGTGGACTGATCCATAGATGAACCCAGAACCTGACTAGACTGTTGGAAGGTAATGGAGCTGTGGAAGTTGGGGGCTAGTTGAAGAAAGTGGGTCACTGGGGAGTATATCTTCCCCTTACTTCTCTTTGTTTCCTGGGTCACCATGATGTGAACAGCCTCCATTATCTGCTCCTGCAACCACGCTGTTCAAGACTTGCCTCAAGCCCAAGGTAACAGAGCCAGCCAACCATGAACTACAACTGGAAGCTAAAGTAAATCTTCCCTTAAGTTATTTATCTCATGTGTTTGTCACAGTGATGATTAGGGGCTGGAGAGATGGCCCTGAGTGATGTTCTAGGGCAGTACTTCTCAACTTTCCTAATGCTGTGAGCCTTTAAAACAGTCCCTCATGTTGTGGTGGCCCCCAACCATGAAATTATTTTCATTGCTATTTCATAATTAACTTTGCTACTGTTATGAATCATATTGTAAATATCTGATATGCAGGATATCTGATATGTGCCCCCCTCAAAGGGATCTCAACTGATAGGTTGAGCACTGCTGCTCCAGGGGACCTAAATTCCCAGGACTACATAGCAGTTAACAACTGTCTGAAGCTCCAGTTCCAGGGATCTGATGCTCTCTTCTGGCCTCTGTTGGCTAGAAGGCACACACGTGGTACACAACATACACTCAGACAAAACACCTATACACATTAAATAAAAAAATAAACAATTTGCCGGGCAGTGGTGGCCGTGGTGGCCTCACCACTTCCTCAGGATGCAAATCTTTCTGGATAAAACTCATAGTCTCCATGCTTCCCCATTAACCTTTAAAAACAGTGGAAGAAATCTGGGAGGGAGGACCACAAAGATGTGTGTTGGGCCAGGCTTGTGCTGGCCCAGTCCTCTGGTCAGGACACCTGTCACAGCTGTGTAGGATGAAGTCACCATCCTCTATGACCCTCATCTCTGCAGCTCTGTCACATTGCTGCACCTGTGTCACCCATGCCTGATGTCCAGCGTGAGCAAGCTGAGCTCCCACAGAGGGACCCTTCCGAGGTCCTCCCCTTGGTCCTCCCCCTGGAGAGCTGAGATTCAGGGTATTCCCATTTATACCCACTGGGATTTATTCACTAGACACTCAATGGCAGTCCTGTGCCGCTCCAGGGTGTCACCTCTCCATCTTCAGGAGGACGGCTGTGATGAAGGGTCCTTGGACTCTTTTTCACCAAAAATGTCTTTTTCATGCTAGGCAGAGGGTGGCACATGCCTTTAGTCTCAGCAAGGTAAGAAACATTAAATATTAGTCTCTCTTTTTTTTTTTTGAGACAGGGTCTAGCTATGTAGAGCAGGTTAGCCCTCACAGAGATCCACAAGTTTCTGCCTCTTGAGTGCTGGGATTCAGCCAGTCAGCTAATATCTGTAAAGCACTCTAAAGCTTTTGTTTAAGTACAAGGAATTCAGATCTTATTCTCTCTCTCTCTCTCTCTCTCTCTCTCTCTCTCTCTCTCTCACACACACACACACACACACACACACCTTGTAAGATTTTATCAAGCTTATTTTTATCCTCCCCCATCTTGTGATATCTTAATGCAAATGTTTGAATTCCCTCCCACCAATAAAGTGTTTGTCCACATATACCCCATTCTTGGAATTTAAGTGACCCACCTTTTAATTTCCTTTAAAACTAGCCAATCTTGAAAGACTGTTACGTTGGACCCCAGCTAATGGGAGACACACACAGTTACTATCTGCCCTGGTATAAAAACCAGGGACTGGAGAGATGGCTGGGCAGTTAGAACACTGGCAGCTCTTCCAGGTGACTCAGGCTCTATTCTTAGAGCATATGGCAGCTTTGATGATCTCTGACCCAGGGGGATCTGACTCCCTCTTCTGGGCTCTGCAGACACTGTGTGCATGTGGTGCACAGACAGAACATGCACATACAACATGCAGACAAAATGTGCCTGGACATACTCTTTTTTTTTTTTAAGAACTTCCTATCCTGATGTGCTTGCTAGCCCATTTTGGACCTTGCTGGGTCCTTTTTGCAAAATTAATGCCCTTGCTAAGGCATTTTCCCTTTGTGTGTTCCTCTGTATGACCCAGGAATTGTTACAGCAGTATTTAGGAAGCAGAAGCTAGAGGGTTTCTGTGAGTTCCAGGCCAGTATGATCTACAGAACAAGTTC